GGGAATGGTCGATATGCATCTTGGCAGGGGGTTGGACTAGATGACTCTTGCGGTCCCTTCTAACCCTATGATTCTATAGACAGATGGACAGAAGCAGTTCCAAGAGGTCAGGGTCTAAGATAATTTCACAGTAGGAGGTGTCCTCTATGTGCAAAAGAATGCTCACAGGCCTCGCTAACTATTCCCAAGTTTATGAGCATGCTGAGCTATATCTGCCAGAGATGTGGTGATAGCTCGCTGAGACTGGATCTGGACCTGAATCCAATGGCTCTGCCCTTGGATAACATCCCACAATAGGGGTAAATACTGGTAAACATCATATCTTTATTTTTCTGGTAACCATTTCTGATTTTTATGCCTCATTACTTGGACTCACTTAAAAAATCTCTCTCCTTATAATTAATAAACTGTTTTACTATTTTATCTAATCCAGCGTGTTTAAATTGAAGTGTCTGGTTAATTATTTAAGATAATAAGATGGCATGTTATTCCCTTAAAGGAATAATGGATTTAATATATTTGTACTGTGTCCAGGAGAGGGCTGGGCAGTGCAGGACATACATGTCTGGGGGAAGATCTGGGACTGGGGATATGTTGGGGTCACCTGCAGTATAACCCAGGCTGGTGAAAGCCAAGGTGTAGCTGGCAGGCTGCAGTTACACACAGACACTCAGGGTATGACCTGCATGCTGTTTGTGCGTGGCCCAGGTGGGAGCTACTTCAGCAAAGCATGTGAGGCACCCAAGGTTGCAGGGCAGGGGTGATACAGCCCTCTGCTGGTCTGGATTGTGCCCTGGTATGTCACACTATAATCTCCTTTGCTGCAGATTGAGCCCCAATGGACCTACCAAACAATGGATCACTGTTCTCTTTATAACAGCCCTTAACATATTTGAAGACTGTTATCAGGTCCCTCCTCAGCAGTCTTTTCTCAGGGCTAAAAATGCCCAGTTTTCTTAACCTTTCCTCATCGGTCAGGTTTTCTAAACCTTTTATCATTTTAGTTGCTCTCCTCTGAACTCTCTGCAATTTGTCCATCTCTTTCCTAAAGTGTGGCACCCATTATTGGACACAGCACTCCAGCGAAGGTCTCGCCAGTGCTAAGGAGAACACGACAATTGCCTCCTATGTCTTACAAACAACACTCCTGTTAATACACCTCAGAATATTAGCCTTTTTTGCAGCTGAATCACATTGTTGGCTTATAGTCAATTTGTGATCCACTATAGCTCCGAGAACCTTTTCAGCTGTACTGCCACTCCTAGCTAGTTATTCCACACTCTGTGGCTGTGATTTTTCCTTTCTAAGTGCAGTGCTTTGCATTTCTCTTTAGTGAATTTAATCCTTTTGATTTCAGACCAATTCTCCAATTTGTCAAGCTTGTTATGAATTCTAATCCTATCTTCCAAAATTCTTGCTACCCCTCCCATCTTTCATATTTTCCACTCCATTATCCAAATCATTAATAAAAATATTGAATAGTACGGGACCCTAGACAGACCCCAACAGATACACCCTCCCAGTTTGACAGCAAACCATTCATAACTACTCTGAGTATGGTTTTTCAACCAGTTATGCACCCATCTTATAGTAATTTCATGTAGCCCACATTTTCCTAGTTTGCTAATGAGAATGTCACATGGGACTGTGTCAAAAGCTTTACTAAAATCAAGATACAGTAAAAGCTGTGTTATCCGGCACTTTACCAACCAGAAAGCTCTATAAACTGGCATTTCTGATCTTCAATAGGGACTGGTTGGTGCAGGGCCGGCAGGCTCCCTACCTGGCTCCGCATGGCTCCCTGGAAGCAGCAGCATGTCCCTGCTGCTCCTAGGTGGTGGAATGGCCATGGGGGCTTGTGCGCTGCCCTGCCCCACCCTGCCCTGAGCACTAGCTCCGCAGCTCCCATTGGCCAGGAACCGCGGCCAATGGGAGCTGCAGGGGTGTGCCTGTGGGCAGAGGCAGCACACAGAGCTACCTGGCCGTGCCTCTGCCTAGGAGTAGCAGGGACATGTCGCCACTTCTGGGGAGCCGCCCGAAGTGAGTGCCGCCCAGATCCAGTCCCCTGAAACTCCTCCCATGCCCCAGTCCCCTGCCCCGAGCCCCCTCCTGCAGCCAAACTCCGTCCTAGAGCCTGCGCCCCGCACCCCCTCCCACGCCCCAACCCCCAGCCCTGAGCCCCCCCCGCACCCAAACTCCCTCCCTCTTAGTTAACCAGAATTTTTGACTTACTGGCACCCCCCATTCCCCCAATATGCCGGATAACTGCCTCCCCCCATCCACTAGTCCAGTAGCCCTGTCAAAGAAGTTAATTGGGTTGGTTTAGCATGATTTGTCCTTGACAAATCCATGCTGGCTATTCCTTATAACCCTATTATCCTTTAGGTGCCTACAAACTGATTGTTTAATTATTTGTTCCAGTATCTTTCCAGGCATCAAAGTTAGGCTGACTGGTCTATAATTCCTCTTTCTTCCCCGTTTGAAGGACAGGTCCTATGTTTGCCCTTCTCCAGGCCTCTGGGACCTCACCCATCCTCCATGTAGAAGATAATCACTAACGGGCTGACGCTCTGCTCTGCCATAGGCTTCCTGTGTGACGTTGGCCACATCAGTCAGTCTCTCTGTGCCTGAGTTCCCCATCTGCACCAGGGAGATAACAGCCATGCACAGCCTGACGGGGGGGTGCGAGGACAACATTAGAGATTGTGAGATGCTCAGATACTGCGGCAGCGGGGGGTCATATAACGAACATAGAGAGATATTCTTCTTCTGATCTTTTATTCCTTACCGATAAAATCAGCTTTCATTTAAAATCTCACGGCAAACTTCATTATGGTCAGCCATTTAAAACGCTCTTCATCCACTGGGCTGGCTCTGCAGCACCTCACACCTGTGCTAAGTGGGTATCAAACACCACCCGATCAGACTGCAAGCTGCACAGCATGCAGAGGGCACTGTCTTTGCAGCCTGTCAATTGTGTAAGATGGCATAAGCAGGTGGAACCCCCCTTACTGTTTGCTTTGATAGCCGCCGATAGATAAGTGGGATCCATCCTTTCACCTGAAGATCTCACTGACAACCTGCTGATTCCATACCCGGGGAGTGTCAGGGAGACTGATTCAATGCCAGAGCCCCGCAGGGTGCTAACCTGCCAGATAAGCTCAGACCAAGCCACCATCTCTATAGTTATTTCTACTCTCTGAGCTCTGGCAGTTCAACACATTCCAGATCCAAGCATCCGCACCAGAACAGGAACCATTTCACAAGTCATCCTGCCTGAGTGGTTCAGCCATGTTGCATCTGAGCAAGGATGCAGTTTGCGGGCTGGTTGCTCACTTTAAGTTTCACAGTCTCACCTCCAAGACAAACAGGTCTAATGCAAAAGCTGTCGGTTCCACCTGAAACCTGGCTAAGGGGAGAAAAGTCTGCTGGAGATGACAGAGCAGAGAACCAACAATCAGGCTTCTGACAACGGAATCCCCCTTGGAGCTCACAAGTCCGTGCAGCTGCTAGGCAAAAATTGAACAGACTCTAATCTCTGGTAATACAAACATGGTGGTGGCAGCTGTCACCGCTCATGCTAAACCCTGTGTTCCATATGCTGGAGACCCTGCAGAATGGTGGAAATGGAAAGACAGCAGGCGCCCTGATCTTGCTACTACCGTAATGCAGGGCGGTGGGGGAAGGGAGGTTGTTTTCCTCTGCAGCCCGAGGCACGGTCAGTTGCAGGTTTAAACTAGTGTAAACGGTGGATTCTCAGTAACTTGAAATCTTTAGACCATGGTTTGAGGACTTGAGTAACTCAGCCAGAGGTTAGGGATCTATTACGGGAGTGGGTGAGTGAGGTTCTGTGGCCTGCGATGTGCAGGAGGTCAGACTAGATGATCTTCATGGTCCCTGCTGACCTTAGAGTCTATAATGCGGTTAAAGCAAAAGAGATCTAGGTTTAGTTCCTGGCCTTGCAACAGACTTGGAGTTAGGTGCCTACTTACCTTTGAGGATCTGGCCTTCATCTTTCTGTGCCTCAGTTCCTGTCTTACTGCAGGGAAAACTGTGTTAACTCAACGGGGCAGGGGAAAGTCATTAATGTTTGTGAGCTACTGAGATACCATGACAATGAAAGCGTTGGAAAGAGACGACCTCTCTGCCCAGCAGTCTGAGACTCTCTTTGCTTGTGCTGAGGATCTACTCAGATCAGAGAGTCCAGCTGCTCCCAGATGGTGTAGAAAGCCTAGGGCCAAATTCCTCCCTGGTGCAACTCCGTTTATTTAAATGGATGTATGCCAGGGATAAAATTGGCCTCCATCATTTTAAAAAGTGCAATTTGTCCTTACTCTGGTTCAAACATTAAATACAGCATTTCCATACCATCTGGATGTACGTTGCGTAGAATGATACACTAGGGTAGGCTTTGATCTCCGTAACAGTGGAATTCTGGAGTAACTCTACTGTTCCTCTAGGATATCTCCAGCCTATAGAAATCAGAACTTGGCTCACTATTTTCATTGAAAGTAGCCTCAATTCTCAGTCACTCTAAGTCCCATATGAAGGCCCCTTTATGCTGACAGGGTGGGGCAAAGCAGCCTTTATGTAAATGAGAATTGAGGTCCCATGTGTCACTAACACCACAGAATTGTCATTGTTTTGATCCCATTGCATGCTTCTATCTCGGCCTAATACGGTTTGACGGTGGTGCATATTTCTGAAACAGATTTTTAAACTGCAAACCAATGTAACATAATTTTAAATGGATGTTGCTTGGAATGAATTCACATAAATCTGATAGTGATTGTCTCCAAATGTTGGACTCTGCAGCCACATTCATATCTGGTATTCAATGAATTTTAATATCTGACAATTCCAGGATGTGGATTTATCTCATGCCTAATATTTATTGCAGAGGTTTATTTGCACCAATCTCCAAATGTCACCCTATCCACAAACAATGGAGTTTTAAATCCTGCTTCACATCCTCTTGGCTAGGACATTATAGTACTTACTCTGAATGATGCCTGTCAATTCCACTGAACAGCTCCCACAGCTCCTCTGAGCTTAAAATACCATCAGCAAAATAGTTCTTAAACTCTTCAAATGACAGCTTGCCGTCATCTGCATGTAAATAAAAAGAGAGGAATAATTATACAGCTGCAAAGAGAAGTGAATCAGGCCATGTAAAGTCTATACAAGAAGCGTGGGCTGACTGGGAGTGTTCTGGATGGTCATAGACATTTCAATGGAACCACATTCCATCAAAGTACACAGGGCTGTCAAAACAGAAATACTTGATGAAATCTAGTCGATTTCCCCAGAATTTTGTTTTGGAAGAGATGCAAGGAAAAAGAGCCCTGATACTGTCAAAACGTCAAAGCGACATTTGGGGAAGGAAACGTTTCCATTTTGCATTTTGAAAGAACTTTTCATTTCCCATTTGTTTACACTATAAGACAAGCACATTTTTAAAGTTGAATTTTGTCAAAACAAAACTTTTGAAGTGAACTGAAACAAAAATTGGGGGGGGGGGGCTTTTCCTTCAGAGTGTTTCAAAATGTTCAGTTATCACCATACACTAAACCCACCAACCCAAATGAGACCAAAGTATTAAGCCCCCAGTTCTCTCTCCGATTCAGAATGAAGTCAGATTTTGCAATCTACGATCCTTCACCAAGCAGAACTTCTGTTCTCTGCACAGCTCTAATAATAATAACACTTAGTCCTTCTATAGCTCGTTCCAGGCGAGGCCCACAAAGCACACCGCAAGCATGCATTAATTAAGCCTCATAAAATGCCTGTAGTTCAGTATTATTATCCCATTTTCAGAAAGGAAAATCTAAGGACCAACTCACTGACACTGAGGTCTGCTGGGCTAGTGACAGTCTCCCAGAGGAAGCTGCTGAAGCCCCATCACTGGGGGCATTTCAAACTAAGCTTGACAGCAAACTAGTGAAGCTTTTCAAAAGGGACTGGTGATTACGCATGTCTGTCTTTAGCAGTCCAATGTGAGGCGCCTTAAAGGGGCCTGCTCTTCAGAGGACAAGGGCTCAGCATATCAGTTGTCTCACAGTGGGTTCCTAAGAACTGAGATTCCCCAAATCACTTGCCACAGGTGAAAATCTTGGGCTAACCAAACCAAAGGGAATAACCCAGCTCAGAAAGAGGAATTAGGAGGAGGGCTTAACAGGCTTTTGGCCTCTGGATTCTATGTCTTGATTCCCCTCTCACTCATACCACTGTAAAGCAACAGTAATGCCAAAGAAACCAGTGGGGTTATACCTGTGTAACACTGGTGCAAGCAAGTGGCAATTCAGATGAAGAAATAGAGAAGTTACTATGAGTCAGTGGAAGTGCCAGGAACAGAACCCCGGGTGTCCTGATCCCCAGACCCCTGCTCTACCTACTAGTGGTCACATCTTGAGGGAGCCAGCATATTATGATCCAAACTGGCGTTTAAGAAGGACGCCAGGGCTAACACCCAACTCTTGCAAAAAGTGTCATGGGACGCATCAGGCACACAAGTGACTGTTATCCTCTGCCTTGCTGTATAATAGTGGAAAAGAGTAAAATATGGTTCTCCCCCTTCTATGCCAGCAAACGCAGCAACCAGATGCTGCTTGGCAAGTGATCAGAGAAAGGAAACAGCCAGGAATCCAGTTGTGGGGGCAGGGGATCGGAGCCCACAGCTCCCCTTTGAATGTGGCTCTGAGCCCTTTGGCTGCTGTTGCTACAAAATGCATTTGTAAGGCAAGGTCTCCTTTCCCCACCTTGTCAGGCCCACTCAGCAGAGCGGTTCCCGGGAGGACTCTTGACACTACAAAAACGAGGAGTACTTTTGGCACCTTAGAGACTAACAAATTTATTTGGGCATAAGCTTTCGTAGGCTAAAACCCACTTCATCGGATACATGCAGTGGAAAATACAGTAGGAAGATATATATATCCACAGAGAACATGAAAAAATGGATGTTGCCATACCAACTATAACAAGACTAATCAATTAACGTTGGGCTATTATCAGCAAGAGAAAAAAAATGTTTGTAGTGATAATCAGGATGGCCCATTTCCAACAGTTGACAAGAAGGTGTGAGTAACAGTAGGGGAAAAATTAGCACGGGGAAATAGTTTTTAATAAACCTTGACACTACGTGGTTCATCTCTTAAATACAGACATATTCCCATCAGAGTCCAGCCGACATAGCCAGCAGCTTCCAACTGCTGGGGGTGGGGTGGGTGTGATACTGCACCCCATATTTGTCATAGTAATATTATTATAATATGGCTATGACATAATTATGATGCATTTTGTACAAGATAAGTCATGTGAGATGTCATTGGAAAAGTTATGATTTGCTGAATATGATTATCCTATTTATATGCATGTATCATTTTTGTATCTGAAGTTATAAATACTGACTATGTATCTGTACTTCAAATATAGTTACATCTGGGTAATGCCCACTAGACAAGATGCTTTCAGTCTAGATCAGGGATCGGCAACCTTTGACACGTGGCTCGCCAGGGTAAGCACCCTGGCGGGCCGGGCTGGTTTGTTTACCTGCTATGTCCGCAGGTTCGGCCAATTGCGGCTCCCACTGGCCGCAGTTCACCGCTCCAGGCCAATGGGGGCTGCGGGAAGTGGTGTGGGCCGAGGGATGACGCGGCAGGTAAACAAACCGGCTCGGCCCGCCAGGAAGCTTACCCTGGCGAGCTGCGTGCCAAAGGTTGCCGATCCCTGGTCTAGATAGCTGGTTGGGAAGGGCCTATTCAGGGCAATGATCCATTAAGGAAAACAATAGGCCTTAGGAGAAGCTTATCTCCCACCTGGTGAGTTCCTGGGAACACTCCAGACAGCCTGTAAGTAAAGGCAGCTATGACTCTACAAGGACATGTGACCAGGCCACATGATTCTGGAGTCCATCTTGGGATGTCAGTATTTTTCCACAAACCAGTCTGGGAACCAAGTTTTGAAACAAAGGGTTCCCGCCATATGCTAAAGCGATATAAGGCAGGGAGTGACATCATCTGTTGTTTTTCACTCCCCACACAAGAAGACGCCTAGAAACACCTGAGGAAAAAAGACTGAACTGGGGGAAGTGCTGGACCCAGGCTAAAGGGATTTCTAGCCTGTCTATGAAGACCTGAAAAACCCAAACTGTAAAGCTAATGCAGCTTGTGTCTTAAGAATCTACAATTCTGCCTGTACCATCAGCTAGGGTGAGAATCTGCTATTCATATCCAACCTATCTAGTATATTAAGCTTAGTTTGCGGTTTTGTATATTTGCTAGGTAATCTGCTTTGATCCGTTTGCCGTCACTTATAACCACTAAAATCTCTCTTTTGTAGTTACTAAACTTATCTTATGTTTTAATCTAAACCAGTGAGTTTGGAGTGAAGTGTGTGGGAATCTTAGCTCAGAGGGGCTGTTGCATATTCCTCTCCACATTGAGGGGGAGGTGAACTGGACAATAAATTCAGACTGGTTGGGGTTTTGACCAGGGCAGGACAGTACCACTCTCGGGTCCTAAGCTAGAAAGCTGGGACTGTAGACTCTCTTTTGTTGGTTCACATGCAGTGGCTGGTCAGAGATCCTGCATGTAACTGCAGCTGGGTGTGTCCCTGCCTGTGTGGATGCTGGTGGAAATGTAAGACCAGGAGCGTTTCTGCATCTTGTCACAGCAGCACGGTGTGAGAGGGAGCCCAGGCTGGTGGGTCAGAGGGCTCTACGGTATCCCAGTTCCAGGTGGCGCCCCAGGGGGAACCAGTCACAGTAGGTTCTCTTTGCTGAATGGCTTCTTGTTCCTCTCTGGCTCTGGGGCAAATCTTCTGCATTGCAGAGCTGGCAGAACGGTAACACATTGGGCTATGTGGCTTGTCATGCTCTATTTTCCCCCAGGGCAGATGGGCAATGACCTGGGGAGAGATGGGGGGGTTCGCCTTCCCTGCAGTGGGTCACTTGCTAGGATTATCTGGGTAGATCTCACTTAAACATCTCCCTGACATTGCAGGGGTCTCAGGCACTGGGGCACCTCCGCCCGAGGCACAGAACAGTCCAGTCTCCTGTCGGTGTCATTCACTTTGGTCTCATTTTGGTTGTTGGGTTTAGTGCTTAGGTGCTGGGTACTGTTGGTGACCCATGATATTCAGGAGGTGAGACTAGATGGTCTAGTGGTCCCTTCTGGCCTTAAACTCAATGACTATTAGCCAGTACAGGAGGGATTGATAGAAGATTACTCCTCTCAAACTGTGTTTTCATCCATGGGTCCAGCACAATACTTCAAGGCCAATTTTTTTCTGTCAGGCACATTTACTGCAGGTCTAGAACTAGGGAAAACGAGGGATGGGCACAGCCCTCCATCCTGGGCCCTGTGGGACTGACAAGGACTTCACTGGAAAGGGACCTGTTAGTCCTAAAGGCTAACCAGGTAGATGTGTGGCTGTGGTCTGACTATATGAGTTCTTCCAGTAGCAGCTAAGTCATACAGTCCCATTGAAGTCCCATAACAGCCAAAGTCAATGCACTGCAGGAAGCAGAACCCTTCTTTCTCCCCTGTTGTTTGCCTTCAGTCGTATAGGTGCTGGTGGCTGTAGGGAGGAACTAGATCTGGCACAAGTGAGCTGAGGACGAGGCTCATAATGTGCATGTGTTGAAGTGTGCTTTGATTTCATTTCGCTAGCGCTGGCCAATTGGAGGCCAGACGCCAGCTCTGGGCTACATGGGGGTCTGTTCTTGCTTTTGCATAGGCTGTGAATTTGCTTTCAGCATGGGCCAGGGAGGATGCAACAACAGCCAAATTCAAATGAAACCAGAAACAGCATCATCAAATGAACGTCAGGTTATAGGGAAAGAGCAAAGGCCTGGCCTGATATAGAGGTCAGCCTGGATAATGGAAACAAGCACAGGGTATGGGTGCTGCAGGCAGGGGTTAGCACTGATTGTCAGGTTATAGACAGGGGTTAGCCACCTCTCCTATTCCTCTGTTGTAACAAACCCAGATGCCTAGGGCTCTAGGTAATAGCACAGGGCTCACGGGCTGGGACAATTTTTATGAGAGATGGCACAAAGTTCTGTGTGAGATTGGAAGGGCCTGAATTACCAAACATCAGGAGAGCCAGGGTGCCCTGAAAATGTGATCGCATACGTGTGCACCTGGAATATGAAGGGCCTTATAGACAGAACCGTAGGAATTCTGCTCCATTGGGCTCTCAGCCCAAGAGCACCTTATTTAATTTTAAATCTGCAGAAGGGAAGCTGGTTTTGGTGGCAGTTGATTATTTGCTGGGTTCACACAATTAGTAAAACGAGGTTCTCCAGAATAACACAGGATAAGTTCTGTAAATACATCGCTACCCCCACACAAGGCAGTCAGACAGAGACCCTCATACAGCTGGGCCACAAACCAACCACAGATAAGGGGGCTAGGAGGAAACTTCCCCTAGGAGCAAGTTATTCCGTACTTGTCCAGTGGGGCGGGGGGGGGGGGGGGCGGCTATTTCACAGGCCACTGTCAAAGACATCTAGAGAGCAGGTGGGCCCCATGTCTAATCTGGACAGGCAACCCTTGTGCTCCATTTCTTTATCTCCCTAAAGGCTTTCCCAGAGGCAGCCAGGGAAGGAGGATGGGAAGGTTCAGAGCTCTTTTCCTCACAGCCGATGAGATGTTTTTCTTTTCTTTGTCACTTTATTGGCAGACACCTCCATAGGGAAAGCACTAAATCTACTTTCCTACAGGCAGCTTGGGAACAGGGATAGGATACAATGTCCTGAGTACTCACCGTTCTTGTTGGCTCGTCGAAAAACCTGAAAAGAAAAACACAGAAGGTGTTGTAACAACACTGGGGATAGAGGGCATCGTCTTTTCATTCCTGCGTGAGACAGAAAAGTACCATTCCCTGCTGCAGAGCAAATCAGGACACTCAATTTGCTGACCCCTAACAAGGCGCTAATCTACCCAAATTACTAGGGGTGTGGCTACACAGCAGTGGCATGGGCCATGGCTCAGGCTAGCCACCTGAGTATGTGCCAGGAGCTGGCCAGGATTGTACCTGGGGTGGCTAACTCAAGCCACAGCCCATGCCACTGCAGACACACTGCTACTTTTAGAACACCAGCTGGAGCAGGGCTAGCATGTGTCTGCCTGCCCTGCCCACACGGGGAAGCAGCCTCCCTGCTGCTGTGTAGACACATCCTTGGAGTGTTAATTACCAATGTGGGATGGGTTTGCTCAGAGGAGATTTTCCTTTGCAAACTATTCAAGCTGTTTCTCTCCTCCAATCTACAGAGCCCTGAGGATGCCTGTCTATGATTTAGCAAACTCCAGCATGTGCACAGAGCATCTTTTTGTTCCTCTGCTCGCTTTAGAGTAGCGAGCATGGAGGGATCCAAACTAGAAAGGACCAGATTGCAGCATGTGGCCTGCAACATGCAACAAGCACATGACCATGGTTGTTCCTTCAAAGTCTTCAATGTTTCAGCTCCTTTAAACAAAATAATTACCATGACACCTAACTCGTATAGAGGGCTTTCCCCCCAGTAGATCTGAAAGTGTTTTACAAAGGAAGTCGGTATCATTGTGCCCATTTTACAGAGAGGGAAACTGAGGCACAAAGCAGTGATTCATCCATGGTCACTCAGCCAGCGGTGGAGCCAGGAAGAGAACCCAGGTTTATTGAGGCCCATTCCAGTCCAGTTCACTCTCCACCAGGCCACCCTTGCTTAAAAAGACAACAGCATTAAGCACTTAGTGCAGCATCTCCCGCATTTCACCCATCAGAAAAATCGCTGAGTAACAGCACTAAGGAAATGGGACTTCCCTTCCCTATGTGATCTTCCTTAATAGCAGCCCGTCCAGCCGCAAAACTCCTCCCCCTCTGGTGAGGGCAGAGCAGTAACTGATTCTGTGCCCACTACAACATGCATTTAAGAGTCATTCTGGGTATGATGAAGGAGCTGGCTACAGAAAGTCAGTTTTCTGGCTAAAGTAATTCTGGATAATGGGGTAATCTGTTTCTTTGTTTCACGTCTGATACATTTTGTACTGATTTCTTTTGAGTCTGATGAAAGAATATGGATAATATTAGGCAGGAGGTGGAAAAGAAATTATCACTTGCTTTGACCTGCCACCCACACACCTCAAAAGCAGATGAGCTGAGCTAATGTTAAGGGGATCTCCCTCCACGCTTTATTCCTCTGGGATTGGCTGGTAATTTCAGTACACACTGGCTGACTTCAGATGAATTTAGGAGGTTACAGTCTAGCCTGTTCATTTGTAAGTCACGCCAAAGATGCTGCAGTGTTATAATGTGCCGGGCTGTGAGTGCTCACGGCTGTATCGTGTTCGAGAGGTTATATCTGATCAAAGCTTGTGTGACTTTTAGTCACGTTATAATGAAAACGTAAAAAGGGAAATAACCTTATACTGAGAGGCAGTCACTTCACAGGCTGTGCTCCTCAGTAACAAAACAGTGTTATAAGTCCTGCCCAAATGGAACAGACCTATGATCCATTCCATGTGATAGCCCACCTTGGGCCATACACAACAGATCAATGATCCATTCTGTCAGCTAGCCCACCGTGGGCCATACACAACAGATCAATG